GGCGCGTCGCCAATGTGTTACATCAGTTCCGTGAATTAAGATGCATGTTGAAAATATGCGTTAATTTATTCTCTACACCTAATTAATGGTCTTATTTTGAGCGTACACATTTTTGAATTGTGTCGAATCTCTATGGGATCGATTCCGGATCGGTCCTCCGAAATGAAAGGGCAGGATCGCCACAAATTCTGCAACATTGCAGTGTCGCAAAGTGTAACATTAAATCGGGATGTGTTGATTTTATTACCATCGGTGGAAATCAAAGATAATTCTAAAATAAATAATTCTAATCAAAGTGAAAACAAAATATTAAATTAAATCTACGAACAGACCTCCTTGGCTTTCACGTTTACCAAACCTATTGTAGTAGCCTGTTCGAACATTTTCTGGTCTAACATATCGGCAACGCGGCAGATTGCACGACCTTCTGCATTACCGTTGCTAGGCAATATGGTATGAGTTTCGCTCTTCAGCTGGCTTCTATCTCTTTCTAACATGTGTCGATACACACTTCTCGCGCTTCACTCTCGTACATATTGAACTCGCGCCGTCAGACAAATTTGGTTTTACCTGTATGCAATTCGTTATTAGGTTAGCAATCTATTCTTTTCCTGAACAAAAGCGTTAAAAAAATTATAAAAAAAGCGTGGCCAAAAATATATTTGTACGTTGAATTTTTGAGTAATCCAATTTATGATATGCTACAAATTGAACAAAAGATGTGAAAAAGCGGTTTTTCTGATTTTTGGCGATTTCCTGGGTAAAAATTCATGATTTTGTTGGTGGACCTAAAGAACTACGCAAGAAAGCACCGATTTGTGAAATTCTCATTACGTAACCAAAAAATCGAAAAAACAACAAAACCATTATGTGGGCGTAGTGAATAAACTAAACTAACGCGTATGTTCAACATACATCTTAATTCAAGAAACTGGTGTAACATATTGGCAATGCGGCTTCGCTATCCAATCAGCTTCTATCTGTTTCTAACATATGTGTCTATATACACTTCTCTCTCGTACCCATTGAACTTAAGCTGTCAGACAAATTTGGTTCTCAGTGTATATGCGCGCTTTACATTATTTTCAGTTCCGTTGTTAAAATAATGATTTCTTATCCGGAAAATTGACAAAAATCGAAAAAACCGCGTTTTCATCGATTTTTTCAATTTTAGGTTTTTTTAGAGTAGGTTTTGTACTGTATGAGCCAAATAGTTATTGTATGTAGAGCGTAGTTTCCTTTAGGTGTTATGTTGGCGAAATGTTAGATGGCGCTGAAGCTGCTCTGTCAACGACGGTTCTGGATGTTCTTTACTTGCCGGGGGAAGCTGTGACCAGGGGGGTGAAACTCATAAATCAAATCCAAGCGAATAACCAAAATTTCCGTATTATGTACCGCGGTTATAATATGGTACGGGATGATGACGTCAGTTACTCGAATCGCTTGAACGCGTTGGTTTTAATCGCGGTTTGTTTCAAGTTGTTTATTTTAGAAAAGCGCGTATATAATTTCTGATTATTTTTATTATCACTTAATAATCGGTGCTTTTTCGTCTACAACGGGGTATGGAAAGTTGAAAAAAAGAAACCTTTCATAGTATTAATGGGAGGAACGTTTTGGCGTGGTAAAAATACTAATCAATATCTGTGTGTTAGTAACCCTATCCCCTTCCTGGTGAGTCAAAACCTATTTTTATATGAGCTTCACGAACGATAGACGTGTGTAAAAAGTGCTCTCCCAATTTTGTCGAAAATCTACGTTATTACTTCAGTAAAAAATATGATTTTTGAAAGAAATCACAATAGTGCTGTGAGAAGCATGTTGGCAGTGAAATATTGGTTGTGCACATATTTTTCATTTGTGGTTAATTGCAGTAAGTAGGATACATTTCTCTTACAAAAAAGTGTTCACAGCAACAAAAAGTTTGCTTACAAAAAGTGCCAGTTACAAAAATAACCATCAGAATAACTAGCTGGTTTTATAGTCTAGTTGTCCAGGATCATATCTCACAAATATCTGTTTGCATCAAATTTTCACACTTTGATTTAATAATCCTACAATGTTAAAAAGAAAACAGCTTCACAATCATAATAACCATCCCAAAACAGAATCCTTAATTATAAACAAGGATGGAGGGCAATGAACCTGAAGCAGAGGTATGCATCAACTGTAAAACAGAATTTCATGGAGACAATGGTTACTATAAATGTGATTCAAGTTTTGGGAGCGTTCATAAGGATTGTGTCAATTTAACATCTTCAGAAGTGCGATGTATGCCATTACAGAAGAGGGTTCTTTTGTTGATTTGTGATAAATGCAAGCAATTAATAGCAAGAATGCCCTATATGGTGAAAATGATGGAGGAAATGAGCCAAATAGTTATTGTATGTAGAGCGTAGTTTCCTTTAGGTGTTATGTTGGCGAAATGTTAGATGGCGCTGAAGCTGCTCTGTCAACGACGGTTCTGGATGTTCTCTACTTGCCGGGGGAAGCTGTGACCAGGGGGGTGAAACTCATAAATCAAATCCAAGCGAATAACCAAAATTTCCGTATTATGTACCGCGGTTATAATATGGTACGGGATGATGACGTCAGTTACTCGAATCGCTTGAACGCGTTGGTTTTAATCGCGGTTTATTTCAAGTTGTTTATTTTAGAAAAGCGCGTATATAATTTCTGATTATTTTTATTATCACTTAATAATCGGTGCTTTTTCGTCTACAACGGGGTATGGAAAGTTGAAAAAAAGAAACCTTTCATAGTATTAATGGGAGGAACGTTTTGTTTTTCAGAAAAAAATTTTTACTGATGGAACCATGGCTTTGGAGCTATGATAACTGTCAATTCTCTAAACTTTTCCGCATGTCAAAGAAAATATTTATTGATTTAGCAGAAATGATGAAAAAGCGATGAAAAAAAGATATTAACAAAACCGTATACAGGTGGACATCATCCAGTGAGTTTATATGGCCATATTTTAATATTCTTGTGGTATATGGCTATACAGGATACTTTGTTAAGCGTAGGAACTAGATTTAAAGTGTCCCCAACAACAGTAATGATTATAACTAACAAGATGCTCTCTTATGCTAAAACTGAAGTCAGCCTGTATCAAGTTTCCCAAAAATGAAGCTGAAGTACAATAAAGATATCCAATACCCGGCAAAATTCTAACTTGTCACATGTCAAATAATAACCAGAAATATAAAACTACTCCTGAGTTGGGTAAATACCACAATCTTGCGGTGATAACTATGACATATAACAGCTGATTCATGACGTCACGGATCTTATAACCACACTGATAATCACACTCGCTTAAACGGATTGGTAAATACCAATCCAAAATGGTAAATACCATTTTCATTTGGTTATCCGCTTGAATTTGATTATACGTGCGAATGGGAAACAAAGCAAAAAATGGCGGCTTATTCACAACTGACGTTGTCTGATTGGTCAGATTTAAATTTCCGGCGGGTCTCTTAGTGTGCTCTGCTCTGTGCTTTGCAAATATAACCTTACTTTTTTCAGCATGCCATTTTCTTAAGATTTCATTTTAATTCAATAAGGTCCTCATTATGTTATTTGAGACATGCATTTTGTTCAGAGTTGTGAAGTATAAAAATGTAAGTACACAAGTACTCATTTGAGAAATGTAATATTTGAAGATCGTACGTGTTTGTATCTCCACATCACTTTTTGAACACTGGAGCGCTACGAGAAGTTCAACAGCTGCCGTTGTCAACCCTTGAGGTCAGGAGCTCGAAGATTACTTCTGATATAACCAAAAGGCACAGCTCTGAAGGATTTTTGCAGAACATTTGTAAGTTTTTATATGACTCGATAACCGGTGATGATTTGTAATGCTTTTGTCCAAATTAGTTTCCATACTTCATTTTAAATAAATCAGCTATTTTCAGAGCAGCAGGGTTGATATGCAAAGCTCACTATAGTTGCAATGAAATCGAAGCCACAGGTTATTGAACAATAACATGGGTGCCCACAGGGTGGTGTCAGAGGGGACATGGTCTCTTCTGGGAATCGGCTTTGACTTTAATGTTTGCATATTTGCTCTTGTGTACAAGTTTGAGAATTTTTTTGGATTTGTCCCCTCGTGAGAAAATTGCTTCCTCTGCTCATCAAAAAATTTTTGGGGCAGGTACAATTTCACAAAAAGTTATCTCTTGATGATGATCAGCACCTCTGAGAAAAATTCCCGTGGGTACCCATGCACAATAATATTGTTGTTCTAATAAAAAAATAAATCTGAAATTGTAGTAACATATCAACACAATTCAATAGTTTCCTAATTTTTGATTTATGCAGGTGCCAACAAAGGCTGGGGAATGAAAATATCTGGACCATAATGATGTTAATACTGATTTGTTTGTAGAAAAATGTGTCAGATTTCTATAATGAATATATATTTAGGTATTTGTAATATATGTTTTTCTTTTGAACCTTTCCATATTAGTAAGTAGAGTGACCTTATCACAGCTTGTGTTATTGACGTTGCTATTTTAACATACAAAAAAGCAATTATTCGACAGTCGAGACAGACAAGTCGAAGTCACCGTGTTGCCATTGAATAGCATGGAATTAAGATTCTGGTTTCGAACGCCGTGGAACGCGTGTCGAGCAAAGACAGAAAAACCGGAGACGAAAAACAAACCTAGAGCAAACAAACAACCAAGTGGCGTGGTAAAAATACTAATCAATATCTGTGTGTTAGTAACCCTATCCCCTTCCTGGTGAGTCAAAACCTATTTTTATATGAGCTTCACGAACGATAGACGTGTGTAAAAAGTGCTCTCCCAATTTTGTCGAAAATCTACGTTATTACTTCAGTAAAAAATATGATTTTTGAAAGAAATCACAATAGTGCTGTGAGAAGCATGTTGGCAGTGAAATATTGGTTGTGCACATATTTTTCACTTGTGGTTAATTGCAGTAAGTAGGATACATTTCTCTTACAAAAAAGTGTTCACAGCAACAAAAAGTTTGCTTACAAAAAGTGCCAGTTACAAAAATAACCATCAGAATAACTAGCTGGTTTTATAGTCTAGTTGTCCAGGATCATATCTCACAAATATCTGTTTGCATCAAATTTTCACACTTTGATTTAATAATCCTACAATGTTAAAAAGAAAACAGCTTCACAATCATAATAACCATCCCAAAACAGAATCCTTAATTATAAACAAGGATGGAGGGCAATGAACCTGAAGCAGAGGTATGCATCAACTGTAAAACAGAATTTCATGGAGACAATGGTTACTATAAATGTGATTCAAGTTTTGGGAGCGTTCATAAGGATTGTGTCAATTTAACATCTTCAGAAGTGCGATGTATGCCATTACAGAAGAGGGTTCTTTTGTTGATTTGTGATAAATGCAAGCAATTAATAGCAAGAATGCCCTATATGGTGAAAATGATGGAGGAAATTAAAAGAGAATTAGCAGATTTGAAAGCAAACTACAGAAAAGACACTTATGCAAATGTGTTAAAAAATAAAACATCCGCGCCGGATTCCATTAATAAGCCTAGTCTGCCTACCATAATAATTAGGCCTAAAAGCCAACAAAATATAGGCAAGAATAAAGAGGAGGTGCAAAGGTTGATAAACCCATGCGAAATCAATGTTGGAATTAGAAATATTAAGGAAACTAAGAAAGGAAATATTGTACTAAAGTGCGACACAGAACAGGAGCTAGAAAGACTCAAGAAATCAGCAGAAAGTAAACTAAAAGGTAAATATGAAGTTAATTTACCAAAAAAGATGTTACCGAAAATTAAAATTGTAGGATATGTGGGTAATAAGGAGATAGAGGAGCTTGAAGAAAGTATAAGGAAGCAGAATACATGGATGCAGTTGAACGGACACTTTAAAATACATTATATTAGAAGACATAACAATAAAGATACCTCCACAATTTATGCGGAATGTTCAGGAAACTTATATTCTAAAATAATGAAAAATGAAAAAAATTACGTAGACTGGGAGCGTCTGCCGGTGTATGAGGATCTGACTGTATCTAGGTGTCAGGGCTTTCAACACAAAAGTAACCGGTGTCTTAGAAAGCAAGTCTGTGGAAACTGTGCAGGGAGTCACAATACCACAGAATGTGAAAGTCAGGAGAGGACTTGTGTGAACTGTGACATGGCCAATAAGCTGTATAAAACTAAGTGCGCAACAGATCATAGTGCATTAACTGCAAACTGTCCTTGTTTAAAATACCAAATTGGAATCTTGAAGTCCAGAACTGACTATAGTAAATAAGCATAATGGTAAATCACATAAATGAGGAAATTCTAGATATAATTAATGAAGACGGTGGTTCTTTGAGTGAAATAATAGCCAGTGGACAGATAAAAACCTTCCTGTCACATAATGCACATTCATTGGCTGTAACTGTGATTCATGATAATATAAGAAGTATCAACAGAAATTTGGAGTCATATAAGCTAAATAGCTTTGACGTTATTGTTTTCACGGAAACCTTTCAAATTGTGTCTATTAAGAACTGTAATTTACCTGGCTACCAAACTTTTTATAATGAAGGTAATTACAATAAAAATGATGGGGTTATTGTTTTTGTTAGGGATGGTATTAGGGAGAATTTCTCCAAGTGCCAGTTAAGTGTATCAAGGGCTAGTTTAGGTAGACTCACGTTTGAAAGGGATGGGGTTTTGTATGGTATAACGTGCGTTTACAGACCACCTCCAATATCAAAGAAAGACTTCACTCATGATTTGCACACTTATTTGGAGCATAATAGTTCTGCTAATATTGAAATATTTCTGGGGGATATTAACATAAATATTCTGGATAATAAGCACACTCTGGTGACAGAGTATCTGTCAATGATGTCTTCTCTTGGCTTTTACGCATTTATCAATAAACCTACTAGAATGTCTTCGGGAACTTGCCTGGACCATATATTTGTTAGGCAAAAATTAAGAACCAATTGTTTATTATTAAATTATATACTCAATGAGGAAATAACGGATCACAGTCCAACAGTGCTTTGTATAACTAATAAAGCACGACCTTCTGGAATTTTGGAGGTTGGGCAAGTTGTAACACGGAACAAACTAAACATAAATAAATTTAAGAAGTTTTTGAATGATTGTGATTGGAATTTGGTAACTACTGTGAATGATCCAGAAATAGCTGTAAAGTTATTTTTGACTACCTACAGGGACTTGCTGTTGAAATCAACAGAAACAATTGCTACAAGAGTATCAATTCAAAAAAAAATAAAACCATGGATAAGCAATGGAATTATTGTTTCTTTGAAAAAAAGGGATAAAATGAAAAAGATACTTCTAGCAAATTATAGTTTGTTTTTGGAAAATCAGTACAAGGATTATGTTATTAAACTAAATAACTTAATACACAAACAAAAAAATAATTACTATAGAATGCAAATTGAAAAAAATAAAAATAACATGAAAAAACTGTATGACGTCATAAAGGATGCAACTTACAAAAAGAGTCAATCTTATATATCTACAGGGTGACTTTGAAGTTGAGTCATTAATTTTCAGACAATGATTGTAGAAGGAAGATAAACCAAAATATGTGTGTAAAAATAAAAAAAAAAATTTTTTACCTTGTTTTATAAAGTATCCTCCCGACAAGTATTTCAGTGCGGACCTGTATTTAATCGTAAGGTCTTGGAGCACCGGCATGCCCTCACCTGTGAGGTCTTAAGTCACCTGATTCACGAGCCCGTTGTACTACATTAACAAAGGCACGAGGGGTTGGTTGCACTCGATTGGGATACCGATCCGCATAAATATGAGCTTTACAATTCAGTCAGTGCTGCTAACAAACAAGAAAGTTTACTCTCTTTTAAGAAATCAGTTGGAAAACAGCTATTGGAGATGCAATCGTCTCTCAGTGTTTGAGTTGTTGGTTTGTTTTATTTTTATGACACTTTATTATTATTATTATTATTATATTAATAGTTCAAGTGTGCATTTGTTTCTTTTTCTTATTATTACTATTGTTTGTTTGTGTATCGAGTTTAACTGTGTTACTCTTTCGTACACAGTGAGGTTAAGTGTAAGAGTAGCCATTTGGCTAAACTTCGCCTCACTGATGTATGCTGATTAATAAAGACATTATATTATTATTATTATTATAAGGCGGAGTATATCCGTTGTTCCCAAACACGAGCACATAATATTATTATTGAGATAGGGCGGTACTCAAACTTCTAAATAGCTATAACTTTGTTACTTTAATTTTACCACAAAAATGTTAAAGGAAAAAAAACATTTCTTTTGATCAGATCTACTCACTGTTAAAATGAATGACTCAACTTCGAAGTCACCCTGTATAAATGATAATGACGGCAACCAGTTTACTGATTCTATTGAAATGGTAAATTTTTGTAATGAATATTTTATTGATGTGGGTGTTAACATGGCGCGGACCATTCCCAGTCCCCAATCTAAATAACATAACAAGCAATGAAAAAATAATACAGATTGGTGACCCGCAGGGTACTGTTTTGGGACCGCTCCTTTTTATAATTTATATCAATAAGATGCCAAAGCTGGACACGAGGGGTTTAAAGTTGGTACCTATGGTTCAAATACAAACAAGTTTTTGGATCCAAGTAGATGGACCACCGGAACGCGGATTAATAATTTTTTTCACATAAGAACAAAGAAAGCGACAGACGCATAGCTTCAAATGAAGATATTTATATGATCAAGGCGCAGGAGACCGAGGTAAATAGAATGCGAATATGCCATTTAAATGTCAGAAGCCTCCGAAATAAAGTAGATGACTTGGATCTTCTTCTCCATGAAATCAATTTTCCTGAGGTTACATGTGTTTCTGAAGTTTGGTGTGATGCAGATGAAATAGATAACATTCATTTGACTGGTTATGTTCTAACTGACTATTTCACTCGTGTTAATAAGAAAGGTGTTGTAGCAATTTTTATCAAAGATTGTATCACTTTTAAAGTGAAATCAAACAATGTAATTAAAACAGAATCTATGTGTGAGGATGCGTTAATATCTGTCAAGTATAATAGTAATAATGTGACAGTCGGATGTATTTATCGATCACCTAATTCAGACGTTTCTGCATTTTTAGATTATCTGGATAGCTTCATAAGTGTTTTGGGTAACAGCGCAGTATTTATATGTGGAGATTGTAACATCAATTTTGACGTAGGCATTAATGATAAAAATGCTGTTGCATGTAAAAATATATTCAAGTGTTATGGTTTTGATCCTCTATTTTTTAATCACACCCGAGTCCAAAATAATTCGGGTACTACAATAGATAATATTTTTTGTAATGTTGACTCGCTGCGTTTGAAGGCTGAAATTGTACCATGTGACGTATCCGATCATTTTTTACAAATAGCTGAGCTAATTTATGATGAGTCCAGCATGTGCTCATACAGCAATTATACAGGGTGACTTTGAAGTTGAGTCATTAATTTTCAGATAATGATTGTAGAAGGAAGATAAACCAAAATATGTGTGTAAAAATAAAAAAAAAATAAAAAAAATTTTTTACCTTGTTTTATAAAGTATCCTCCCGACAAGTATTTCAGTGCGGACCTGTATTTGATCGTGAGGTACCCTGTGAGGTCTTAAGTCACCTGATTCACAAGCCCGTTGTACTACATTAACAAAGGCACGAGGGGTTGGTTGCACTCGATTGGGAAACCGATCCGCATAAACATGTGCCATTTTTTGTTTCGTTTGAGCCACGCAACACATATCACTGTTCACTGACACTAACTGTATACAAATGAATGAGATACCTGTAAAAACATCGTTCCAAATTCTTTCGCTTTTTTGTTTCCGATGCGATGAACCGATACGGCGGATTATATCCATTGTCGCCAAACACGACCACATAATATTGTTATTGAAGCAGGGCGGTACTCAAACTTCCAAAGGGCTATAACTTTGTTACTTTAATTTTACCAGGAAAATGGTAAAGGAAAAAAACATTTCTTTTGATCAGATCTACTCACTGTTAAAATAAATGACTCAACTTCGAAGTCACCCTGTATATCAAAAAGGTGTTTTGATGACGAAAATAATCTGTACTATTTTAGGCTGTTGCTTTCATATCAGGACTGGGGTTGCTTGGAGAACCTGGCATGTTGTGATATTAAATTTTCTTTATTCCATGATATTTTCATAGGTATAATGGATAAGGCATTTCCGTTAACTAGCTTCAAATTAAGTAATAAGCCCATAAGAAAACCTTGGGTGAATGATAAAATTATCGAGGAGGGTATACTTCTGCGATATATCCATGCTGCTTATAAATATACAGGGAGTGCAGACTTACACGAACGATACAAAACTCTGAAATTTATACACAGACGTAAAATTCAGGAAGCTAAAAGCAAATACCATGCTGAAAAAATCCAAAATTCCTTAAACATGCCTAAGACTGCATGGAATTTAATAAAACTACACAGTGGGTCTAGGATTAAGAGTCCAAACGTTAATTTTCTTAGAGATGATGGATCACAGCTCGTTGGCAAAGAGTTAGCGGACTCCTTTAATAATTATTTCTTGGAATGTGTGCAATCCTTAACGCAAAATCTCAATATTGATACTAGTACCAGTCATATCGCAAAAATCCTTTTTCATTTTTTCTTTATCCATTGAGTCACAGCGAAACCATAAACATTATCAGTGAGATTTCAAAAAAATCATCCAGTGGCGATGACAAAGTACCCTGCTCGCTGCTAGCAAAAGTAGCAGATCTATTAGCCAAACCAATTTGTTATCTCATTAATAGCTCTTTTACTGATGGCGTGTTTCCATCAAGACTAAAAAAGAAAAAAACAGTTATCGTCCCTATTCACAAAAAGAATGATGTAACTGTCATAGCCAATTACAGAGGAATTGCACTTCTCTCTGCGTTTTCTAAGGTATATGAGAAAGCCTACTATTCCAGACTTGTTCAATTTATTTGTCAACAAAACTTACTTAATTCGGTGCAGTTTGGATTTATCAAAGGACGGTCCACTCAAAATGCTGTTTTATCATTATGTAACGAAATTTCACAAAATTCTGAAAATAAAGAAACAACAGCATGCATATTTTTTGATCACAGTCGTGCATTCGATACAGTTAATCACTCTTTGTTGTTGAATAAGTTGGAACCGTATGGAATAAGGGGGTGCGCGTATAATTTGATTAAAACGTACCTACAGGATAGGATGCAATCAGTAAAAATCACTAATAACTTTCAATCATATAAATCTGATGCCAAGATAGTAACAACAGGGGTGCCTCAAGGGAGTACTTTAGGACCTTTGTTATTCATTTTGTTTGTCAACGATATTTCGACTTCTTGTCCTCGCGTATTCAAAACACTTTTTGCAGATGATACTACATTCAGTACTCATGCTTCCTATCCTCACTCATTAGGTACACTTACAAATAATGCTTTCTGTCAGATGAGAAATTATTGTAACTCCAATGGCCTTATCTTAAACTCACAAACGACTGATATAGTTCTATTCAGAAATATAGATTTAAATTTCAGCCTACGTGTTTATGGTGAGGGATATAACTTAAGACAGAACAACTACACAAAATTCCTTGGTGTTTATTTAGATACTAAGCTAACATTTGGTAAACATATTGAGTGTTTGATCAAGCGATTGTCAACCCAATCATTCATTATATGGCAGCTTCGACGTCACGTAAGTACTGAAATATTAAAGCTTTACTACTTCGCTCACGTCCATTCCACACTAAGCTATTGCATTGTTGCTTGGGGTGGTAGTAACAGGGTTGGTGAATTATTTATAGTACAAAAAAGGATTATCAGAACCATGTTGCTTAAAAACTCCAGGCATTCTTGCAGAGAATTATTCAGTTACCTGAAGATCATGACAGTATACTCCTTTTATGTTTATAAGTGTGTCGTCTATGTTAAAGAAAATTACGAAAGCTATGTCTCCAGAAATGCTGTGGCTATCAGCTCTGGTTATAACCTCCGTATAAACCACAATGTAGTTATACCTACACACAGGCTTGCCTCAATATCTCCAAAGGGGCTTCCGTCATGCCTGTGAGATTGTTTAATCACTTACCCGTGTCGATTAAGGGCATGGTATCTATTTCAGTCTTCAAACGCCAAGTACGAGATTTGTTGCTATATCCATTTTACTCTGTTGACGAGTACCTCAACCATCAATTTTAATTTACATTTTATCGTGCTCTTGTCGTGCTGTTTATGTACTCTAATATTGTTAGATATCCTATATGTTTTTAATAATGTAACGTGATTTATTTATGTAAATTTAAGATGCGGAAGTATCAGAACTAGCAAAGTAGTGGTATAAGCTTTTGTTAAAAGAACCGTTCAGCCATAAAAGCTCTCTATTGTTGTTGCCTGAACACCAAAATGCTGACTTAATGTTGTGTGGAATGCAAATTTGCTTTCAGCAACATATTTACTCTAAAATGAGGTGTTTAAAATATTCTTATAGCATAGTTATACAACACCTTATAGGGCAAATTTTCAACTGTTGCATAAACGTTTATACAAAAATTTTATACGGCATATTTGCACGTTAGTCAAAATGGTTGTGTTGTGGCATCCATGGTAACGTTTATAAAACAAACCCGAGTCTCGTTGTTTTGCTGTGCAATTTACTACTTTAGCCAACAAATTGCTCCCAACGGAAGCACTTATACAACTGTTGTTTAGTAACTGTTAAAGGCTGTACATATGCTAAATATGTTGGTATACAACTTCACCATAACCTAACTTTCTGCTGTCATATTTTTGTTAAAATGCCATAACCAATGTTTTAAGACAAACAACGCAAGCATATTGGTTCAAAAGGTTTTATCAACTGTTCAAACAGAAGATATAGGTCTGGTACAAATTCTGGGTCAATCATTCGACTCTGTCGGTATTTCATTTCAGACATTTGTCAAATTGTTGTATAACACCTGCAGGCAACACCAAAATATCCTAATAACCTAAAGACAACATGGACGATGCCATGATTATACACAACCACCCGCCATATTGGGCAAACACTTATTCCTCTATTTAATATTAAATAATTATGTTTCAGTTCGAAATTACGGATATAAAGTGATAAACATTAGTGTAATTGTGTCTAAATATAGGATTTGTGGAAGATTTAACGCAGATAAGTCAGTTTTCCATCTTAAAAAACTAGACATACTTTTGATCATTATCACAAATATGAATCAAATACGAAGCCCGTAGAAACTGCGTAACTAATTTCCATGATAATCACAATAAAATTTGTTGCGCAAGTAATTCAATAGCCCTATATCGCAGTGTAGAAGTTTATCATATACATGTTCTTGAAACTCACAATGGCCGATATATAAGTAATGTAATGTGTTAGTTATATATTCTTCACTTCGTCTATACAATACATAAGAAATAGTTCGGTTGCAATAAAGTAGAATCACGTAACAGAATAGTTGTATAGTTGACAAAAACTGAATCTGGCACTGACGCAAATGTCCTATAGAAGCTGCAAGAGGCTTACACTTTTGTTGTATAACTGTTACCTGCAGCCCTTATACAACCTCTTAAATGACTGAAGTGTCCTATTAGGTGTGCCCATTCCGCTTGTATAGCTGTTCTAAGAGGGTTTTGCCAATGTTCTTACAGTATACAATGCTGTTTAAGGAATACTGTATAATCATTCTTGCAACTCTAATAGGAGCGCTAATTGTTAGTTGGGATATATATATATATATATAGATTTACATATCTATATGTATGTTCAACCCATTCAGTGTAATGTTTTTTTATTTATGACACTTTCCCATACTTGTTTGTACAAGTCGAATGGAAATATATTATTATTATTATTATTATTATTATTATTATTATTATTATTATTATTATTAACTATTTCTTATGCTGATGATACTGTACTTCTCTTTGCAGGTTCTAGTTGGGAGGATGTAAAGTGTAAAACAGTGTATGGTCTAGGTATGGTAAAAGACTGGTTACAAGAGAGTAAACTAACATTGAATTTATCTAAGACAAACTATATTGCATTTTTGTTCACCAATAAAAACAGACCAAATTACAGCACTATTATGCTGGATGATATTTATTCTGTTCAGGAAGTGTCTCAAACTAACTACCTTGGAATCATTATTGACCAACATTTAAAGTGGCAGCCGCATGTTGATTATGTATCGAGTAGAATTAGAAAATTAATCCATCAATTTTATCTACTGCGTGACTTCCTCGATAAAAAAAATTTAATAACAGTTTATAAAGCATTTGTTGAATCTATAATTAGATATGGGATATTAGTATGGGGGGATTGTATAATAATGCTCTACTTAAACTCATTATTATTCAGAAATATATTATTAAAATTATTTTTAAGAAAGATAAAAGATTCCTCACTAATAAACTTTTTACAAAGGATGTGTGCAATATTAGATCCTTGTACGTGATGACAGTATCTACTTTTATTTATAGAAATGAAAAACTACAGAAACAAGTAAATCATAACTACTGTACTCGTGCAAATGTGGGCAGGGAAATAGAAATTCCCAAGAATAACAATAACCTAAACTTAAGATACATAACGTATATAGGACCAAAGATATATAACATTCTGCCAGAACACTTGAAAAAGTTGAAAAATATTAAAACATTTAGCACCAGCTGCAGAGAATATATTTTTTAGAATACTGCACAATTTGAAAAGTTTTTCTAATGATTTTTTGTATCATAGTATGATTGAACTATTGTTCGGGATATTGAGGTTGATTATTGTTTTTTTTATTGTATTTTATAATCCAATAAATAGCATTTTCTTTTCATTTGTAAGTCCGAATGATGAAAGCACATACAGGTGGTTTGAACCATCTAGGTGCATCTTTCTGTTATCAGGATGTCCTTGATGAAGAGGAATTATATTGTTGTGTTATATATTTATGTGTATTTATAATTTTTGTATATGGTCTTTGTTGGATGTTATTGTTATTAAATCAATAAATAAAAATAAATAAATAAGAAAAATTAACATACTATTTAGTGTACTACCTAACACAAAAAAAGAAAAAGGGGAACGCTTAAAAGGGTAGAGGCATGGAAACGGACTCCGGGGGGGAATCACCCCCCCATACTACTGCTATAGATGATAATAGAAACCTTACACAAGCAGAGCTAGAAAATATAATTGGTGTCACAAACAAAGAAAAAGCCAATCAAAAAAACGCTATAGATAAAAAAGAAATATGCTACAAAAACTCTGAACAGGGACCATTCATAGTTTTTGTCGAAGCAATGGAAGGCACGGGAATTCAAGTAGGTCAAAGAAGGTATCTACAGCTAGCAAAAGATATACTACTTATTTCAATTAAATTTAACCAACATTAAACGCATACAAGTCAAGGCAAGGGATAGGCTGGGAGTAGAGTTCCTGGATTGCAAGTCAGCAAACTCTTTTGCAAATAAAGAACTCAATGGGTACAATATATATATATATATATATATACCATTCAACAAAGTAGCATACAAGGGAATCATAAGACAAGTAGATACAAGCTACACAATTGAAGAGATTATTAGCGCTATCGAATCTCCAATGAAAGTGTTAGATGCAAAAAGGCTCAATAGAAAAACCATAGTAGATGGCATTACAAAATACACGCCCACTGTTACCATACTAATAACATTTCAAGGCACAGTACGTCCCAGAGATGTTTCTATTTACTATCTTCTCTTTCCCGTATTTACATACAATATACCACCTGTCACTCAATGTTACTCTTGTCTCACTTATGGTCACACTAAGACCCAGTGCAAGGGAAAAAGAAGATGCTTTAATTGCGGTAATCTTGAACATAATGAAGAGGGGGAGGACTTTCACTGTCAAAGAAAATGTTATCATTGCGATAGTTTGGAACACAGATCCAACTCGAAAGACTGCCCAGAGTACCTACAAGAGGCAGGAAAAGATAAAACAACTTATGGTATTTGAAAATATTTCATACTTTGAGGCGAACGAGCTGTGTCGTAAAACGTATAAATCGCAAAGTAATATGATAAACACAACCGACATAGCTTACAATAATAGAAATTTCCCAGCAACCAGAAACCAGAATACACCTTCTACCTCCGGAACAAGTCAAATAAATATAGCACAAAGAAGAACAAAAAGAACCTCTCAACAAGCACTACCACAAACACCAAAAAAAAAAGAATAGTTGAACAATAGAGAAAGTCACAATGAGAACCTAATAAACAGAAACGGTAGACAACAAAACAGTAACTGACCAATAACAGTACAAGCACAAGTGCACAATAACGCTTCAAACACAGAAGCACCATTCAACACACCTAAGATGCCTACTAGTGCCCTTTACAGAAATAACACTAAAGAACAAGTAGATGAAATCGTTGAAAACTTAAAATACCTTAAACCCGAAACCCTAAGTAAAATTAAACAAATAGTAGTTAATGATACAGACCAGACTGACAACGAATTTTACTGAAAAAGCAAAAAATGTTACATAGCCTAGTCTCAGTAGTACAAAACCGACACAACTGAAAAATGAACAGCAAAGGCACTTTAATCACTTTACAGTGGAATCTAAGGAGTTACAGTAGTAACAGCGTGAATTTAATACAATTTTTAGAAACGCATAACCCAGACATCATTTTTTTAAATGAGAAATGGCTAAAGAAACAACAGAGTTCGCATATTAGAGGTTATCAATGCATTAGAGCAGTCCGAGAAGATTGGAAAGGTGGAGTAGCTACATTTATAAAAAATAACATCTGTTTTCAAAACATAAGACTCCCTAACACATTTAACATTGGAAACCTACAATATATTGTCACTAAAGTCCTTAATATTAATTTTGTTAATGTATATAGAACTCCAAGCAACAAAATCACAATAAAAGGGTTCAATGAACTACTGATATCGCTCGTGGGCGAAGTGATGTTAGTGGGGGACTTCAATGCCCATCACCCAGCATGGTGTAGCATTAAGACAAATTACAATGGTAGAGCTCTCTATGAAATCATAGAATCCAACAACCTCATCATATTGAATGATGGTTCCTCAACCAGACTCATAGGACCAGGGGAGAATCCGAGTCCTCTTGACCTGACCATAGTGTCGAACAACTTGGCCACCATCACACATTGGGGTATTTTGCAGGACTGCGGAAATAGTGATCACTTCCCGATCATTTGTAAATATGAACACTCACTAAGATCAACGAACGAAAGACCAAAAAGAAATTATAAAAAAGCAAATTGGTGTTTATACAAACAATTGATAAACGAACACTTTAGGATGAATACGGATAATGTTGACTACCAAACCCTTGCTCAAACAATAAACATAGTAGCTGATCTCTCAATCCCCTATACCTATACCTAGCAAGATAATAACAGAAAGGTATCCAGAAGCCCATGGTGGGATGAAGAATGCACAGCCAAAATTGAACAAAGGAAAAAGGCCATACGAAAGTTTAAACTAGAATCTAGTTTAGAAAATTACATAGAGGCGAAAAAAATCAATGCACAGACAAATAGATTCTTGAAAAAAAAGAAAAAATCAAATTTAAAAAATTCTGCTCCATCATAAACAGAAATACGAATCCCTCTTTCATATGGAAAACATTCAAAAAATTTAGTGACAATAAAAAAGTATACAATAAAACCTCATCCCCGAACCCGCAAATATCATAAAAAATCTGACTGTGTGTAACATTCCAGCTGAATTCTCAATCCATTGTTCAAAAAATGAAAACCAATTCTACTTCAGAGATTTATGTATCGCTTTGGAAAACCACAAAAATAGTGCTCCAGGAATGGACAACATCTCATATTTATTGCTCAAGAATCTACCAAGCTCAACACTACACTCACTATTAAACATATGTATACAACAACTGCCTATCGGGTATGCAAATTCCTAACAGCTGGAAAGAGCATTTGATATACCAAATACTGAAAACAAATAAAGACCCAAACAACCCCAACAACTATAGACCTCTGATTCTCAGCGCGTGCGTAGGGAAAACACTAGAGATTTTGATCAAAAATAAATTAGAGTGGGAACTCGAAAGTAAGATAACTTTTAACCACCTGCAGACAGGATTCAGAAAAGCACACTCTACCCAAGACAACCTCGCTTTCATAGTTTCCAACATACATTTGGCTTTTTCACAAAAAGAAACCACGTTAGCAGTCTTCCTAGACATCAAATCAGCATACGACAACGTAAACATTTTTCTATTATACGAAACACTAATAAAACTTGGAATATCTAAACGAATTTTTAATCTAATTTTTGATTTACTGAATAACAGAACAGCATATACAATAGATAATGAAAACAATATGCATGGCCCAAAGGTCACCTTACTAGACCTTCCTCAGGGGTCCCCTCTAAGCCCACTATTGTTTAACATATATAAAAATGAATTATATTCAATATTACCAGAACACATACATTTACTCAGCTACGCAGACGATATGGCACTGATGATCAACGATAACAAAATAGACATTTCAAGGAACATGACAACTAGCAGAGGCTGACATACGCCAATGATAAACTAAGTCATCTACTAGATGTTCTCCATGTAAAACTATAGTTTTTTGGATAAATTTGCCCATTTGCCTAATGTTCAAGCCTCCTTCAAAACAGGTCTGACGAAACTGCTTGAAGATTTTCAGCCTTGCAATGTTCATGATGTCCTCTAAACTATCATTAACAAATGCATCTGACTGACAATCTTTAAGTATGTTAAACATAAAAATTCTTTGAAAAGACCTCTTGAAACGTCTGATGGTCATTCAAGGAAAATAAAAAAGTTGAATGACACCAGGCAAATCATTTTCGAATATTTGGTTTTTTAATTATTTCATGTACCTCCATGGATGAACCATCACAAACCTGGCTTGGTCATACCTGGCCAGGACATTTTTACCAAATTGTGATAGAATTGTGTTTTATTTTATTTTTTAGAATTGTATGTTGTCCCCCGAGGTAGAGACAAAATTTTTCTACATGTTCCTCAGGTCAATTCGAGTGGAAAAAGTCCTATGAACAAGGGTCCGGAAATGCTTCCTTATCGAGATAATGATTTTTTTATTTTTAGGGTGCTAATGGTGGGAAAACCACAATATTGTTGGAAAATTACTTTTATTTAACACAAAATTACTAGGTACAATAAATATAACTATTCACAATAGTTGTTCAAAGTATCCACCTTCACACTGTAAATATAGTCTAGCCCGTTTAATAATGTGACTGGTGGCTTTCCCAATAACAAGACGATTACTTCTTATGTCGTCATCGACATCAGTAATTTTACGTAGCAATTCAGCCATGGTATGCGATTTCTCTGCATACACTAAAGACTTCATATGACCCTACAAGTAATAATCCAAGGGATTTAAATCGGGCGAGCGGGGTGACCAAGAAACTGCGCCCCTCGTCCAATTCAACATCCAGGAAAAGTGTTATTTAAATACCGAGTCTTATTTCTGCCACTGTGGGGCGGAGCACCGTCATGTTGTAACCACATATGTTGTCTTCTCTGCAGCGGAATATCCTCTAACCACACACGCAGTCCTTCTCGTAAGAAATGAAGATCAGCTTCAGATGTCAACCGACCGTCAAACAAAAGGGCTAACTAAGTGATCCCCTAACAAACTGCACCAGATATTAACAGAAAAACAGTGTTGGAAATTCCGTTCGTAAGTTGCGTGGGGATTTTCAAGCTGCCAAGAATGGGAATTCCTCAAAGTATTGACGCCGTCTCGAGTAAAAGTAGATTCGTCGGTGAACAAAATCTTTTTAACAAGATTACGATTTGCGAGGAGCCAGTTACAAAACTGCATACGAGGGTCCGGCAGCAGAGCTTGGACAGGTTGCAGATGAAATGGGTACAAACCAAAGTTATGCATTGTTCTCCCCACAGTCATTCGGCTAACACCAGTGCGACGTGATATTCTGCGGACGCTGGGTGATGGTGACCGTTCAACACTACCCAGTATTAAGTCATGGGCAGTTTCTGATGGACGTGTTACAGTAGCATTTGGAACCGATCCTGTTGCTTTCACATGTGCCAAAACTCTTCCAAATACCCATCTGTCAGGTATTCTTCGATTTGGATACCGGCGGCGGTATTCGTTCAGTGATGCTCTGCCTTTTCCATTGCAATATCCGTAGGCAAACATCATGTCACCATATTCCTCACTTGTAAAAACGAACATGACAGTAATTTTTGCAAACTGACACAGCTACTCCGTCAACAAACAAACACCAGCGTATTAATCGGGCCGTACATCGTGAATGTAGACTTTAATTATTGTAAACAGTTATTTTCATACGAACAGTATTAATTTTTTTGTTAAATAAAAGCAATTTTCCAACAATATTATGGTTTTCGCCCAATAAGAATAGCAAAATCATATCTTGATAAGGAAGCAT